AGGCGAACTCTTGGCCCGCCCGGTTGCCAGGGAGACGCCCGCGAGGACGCCCGCGAGCCCGCCTTCGCCGCCGCCTCGTCAGTCACTGGCTGACCACAGCCATCAATCACCCGCTCCTTGGCGGGCCCGACCAGTCACCGTGGCGGACATCGCAGAGCCCAGGCCGCTATATTTGGAAAGACTACAGCTCCCGCCATGCCTTTTCCCAGGGAAACCCGTGCAGAATGCTGGGAAATAACTGTTTCAAATAAATGTTCAAAACCATTTATTGTCCTCCCTCTCCGCCCGCCGCATCTTGTTATCCCAGCAGCCCTATATCCCAGAATATCGAGGCAGAAAATCCCACATTATCTGCTTTGAACTGGAATATATGGCAGTATGGACTCAGATCACCCAGTTTTGTGGGATTTTCTGTCCTGATATTTTGGAATATAGGGCTGTGTGGAAGGGCCCTGGGTGATCTGAGTCCACACTGCCATTTATTCCAGTTCAAAGCAAATAATGTAGGATTTTATTAAGGGGCCTGGATGAGATATTCATAGAAAAACTAGAGAAAATGTGCTGCATGATGTCCTGCACAAACGAAGTTTTTGTAGTTAAAAAGAAAACCTTTTCCATGTGTTTATGAAATAACCAATTAGGAAATGACATTGATAACCCAGGAACAAAAATCATGTTACGTAGGGCCCCTTCCACACAGCTGAATAAAATCCACATTGAACTGGATTACATACAAGTGTGAACAGGTTTCGGCGGTGGCCGGGGAAGGTTTTGCACAGTTAAAGCTTGTGCGCCAGCTCCACCCATACCTTGGGAAGTCTGACTTGGCCACAGTGGTCCACACTCTGGTTACATCCCGTATAGACTACTGCAACGCTCTGTACGTGGGATTGCCTCTGAAGACTGCCCGGAAGTTGCAATTAGTCCAACGCTTGGCAGCCAGGTTGCTCACTGGAGCGGGATACAATGAGCACACAACTCCCTTATTGTGCCAGCTCCACTGGCTGCCAAGTAGCTTCTAAGCACAATTCAAAGTGCTGGTTTTAACCTACAAAACCCTTTACGGTTCCGGCCCAGTTTACCTGTCCAAATGTATTCTCCCCTATAAACCATCAAGGGTGTTAAGATCTTCCAGAGAGGCCCTGCTCTCGGTTCCGCCACTTTCGCAGTCACGTCTGGTGGGAACAAGAGACAGGGCTTTCTCTGTGGTGGCCCCCAGACTATGGAACTCTCTCCTGAATGAAATTACATCTGCCCCCTCCCTCCCGACCTTCAGGAAGCAATTGAAATCCTGGCTTTGGAATGAGGCATTTGCAGAGTGATGAGACTGGTAAAGACTAAAGTGATTGACCACAATGTGCGGACTGAGTTGGACAATGTTTTTAACTTGCCAAATGGTTTATATGTATTTTAACTTATATGTATTTTTCACCTATCTTTTATGTATGTTGTTTTAAAATGTTATTTATGGTTAAGCACTGAATTTTTGCTGTTAGCCATTCTGAGTCCCTCCACAGAGGTAGAGGAAGAATGGGATACAAAAGTTCTAAATAAATAAATAAACTCTGATAATCCAGTTCAAAGTAGGTATTGTGGATTATCTGCCTTGATATTCTAGGGACCTTCCACACAGGCATATAACCCAGTATATCAAGGCAGAAAATGCCACAGTATCTGCTTTGAACTGGGTTGTCTGAGTCCACACTTCCATATATTTCAGTTCAAAGCAGATAATGTGGGATTTTATTCAGCTGTGCAGAAGGTGAAGTTCAACAGTGACAAATGCAAGATACTCTACTTAGGCAGAAAAAATGAAACACAAAGATACTGAATGGGGGACGCGTGGCTCAAGAGCAGTACGTGCGAAAAAGATCTTGGGATTCTTGTGGACAACAAGTTAAACATGAGCCAACAATGTGATGCGGCAGCACAAAAAGCCAATGGGATTTTGGCCTGCATCAATAGGAATATAGTGTCTAGATCCAGGGAAGTCATGCTACCCCTCTATTCTGCTTTGGTTAGACCACACCTGGAATATTGTGTCCAATTCTGGGCACCACAATTGAAGAGAGATATTGACAAGCTGGAATGTGTCCAGAGGAGGGTGACTAAAATGATCAAGGGTCTGGAGAACAAGCCCTATGAGGAGTGGCTTAAAGAGCTGGGCATGTTTAACCTGAAGAAGAGAAGACTGAGAGGGGACATGATAGCCATGTATAAATACGTGAGAGGAAATCATAGAGAGGAGGGAGTGAACTTGTTTTCTGCTTCCCTGGAGACTAGGACGCGGAACAATGGCTTCAAACTACAAGAAAGGAGATTCCATCTGAACATTAGGAAGAAGTGTCCTGACTGTGAGAGCTGTTCAGCAGTGGAACTCTCTGCCCAGAAGTGTGGTGGAGGCTCCTTCTTTGGAGGTTTTTAAACAGAGGCTGGACGGCCATCTGTTGGGAGTGCTTTAAATGCAATTTTCCTGCTTCTTGGCAGGGGGTTGGACTGGATGGCCCATGAGGACTTTTCCAACTCTATAATTCTATGAAGGGGCCTGGGTTATATGGTTGTGTGGAAGGGCCCTAACTCTCCTCTTGCACCTATCCAAAAATCCTTACATATCACTCAGCACATTCAGCACTTTTTAATCTGTACCCATTACATTTGCCCGGCCTAGTTTTTATTGTATCACGATGTGTTGTTTTATTGTTTACTGTTATTGCTTTAATGTTTTGATTTGCTTTGGTTTATATGTAATTGTTATATTGTTGTTTTATTGTGGCCTTGGCCTTTGTAAGCTGCATCGAGTCCTTCGGGAGATGCTAGTGGGATACAAATAAGGTTAATAATAATAATAATAATAATAATAATAATAATAATAATCTTGTCAGAATAAAATGGAAGAGGGTTGTTGTAGGATTTTTGGGTAGTATGGCCATGTTCTAGAACAGGGATCCTCAAACTAAGGCCTGGGGGCCGAATGCAGCCCTCCAAGGTCATTTACCTGGCCCTCGCTTAGGGTCAACCTAAGTCTGTAATGACTTGAAATGACACAACAACAACAGCAACAATCCTATCTCATCAGCCAAAAGCAGGCCCACACTTCCCATTGAAATACTAATAAATTTATATTTGTTAAAATTGCTCTTCATTTTAATTATTGTATTGTTTTAAAGTGTTTTTTGCATTACAAATAAGATAAGTGCAGTATGCATAGGAATTCATTCATTCATTGTAATGCGGCCCTCCAACAGTTTGAGGGACTGTGGCCCGGCCCTCTGTTTAAAAAGTCTGAGGACCCCTGTTCTAGAAGCATTTTCTCCTGACATTTCGCCTGCATCTATGGCAGGCATCCTCAGAGGTTGTGAGGTGTGTTGGAAACGAGGAAAATTGGAAGAGGTGTGAGCAAGAAGACAGCCATGCTCTAGAAAGAAGCCTCCATCCAGCGGAGAGTTATTTATTTATTTATTTATTTATTTATTGTGTCAGGAGCAACCAGAATTGTATTACATTTTTAACAAAACAAACAAACAGACAAAACACAAAGTTTGCAAGCTTGGTAGTTGATTAAATGTCCTTTGACCAGTAGCTGGCCACTTGGAGTTGGTGTTGTCGCAAGGAGGTCCTCCATTGTGCATGTGGCAGGGCTCAGGTTGCATTGCAGCAGGTGGTCAGTGGTTTGCTCTTCTCCACACTCGCATGTCGTGGATTCCACTTTGTCGCCCCATTTCTTAAGATTGGCTCTGCATTTTGTGGTGCCAGAGTGCAGTCTGTTCAGCGCCTTCCAAGTCGCCCAGTTTTCTGTGTGTTCAGGGGGAGTCTCTCATTTGGTATCAGCCATTGATTGAGGTTCTGGGTTTGAGCCTGCCACTTTTGGACTCTCGCTTGCTGGGGTGTTCCAGCGAGTGTCTCTGTAGGTCTTATAAAACTATTTCTTGATTTAAGTCATTGACGTGCTGGCTGATACCCAAACAAGGGATGAGCTGGAGATAGAATCATAGAATCAAAGAATTGGAAGAGACCTCATGGGCCATCCAGTCCAACCCCCTGCCAAGAAGCAGGAATATTGCATTCAAATCACCCCTGACAGCTGGCCATCCAGATGTCTCTGCCTTGTTCCTTTCACTATTGGCTGCTACTTCCCGGCAGATGTCAGGTGGTGTAATAGCGGCTAAACAGTGTAATTTCTCTAGTGTTGTGGGGCGCAGACACCCCGTGATAATGCGGCATGTCTCATTAAGAGCCACATCCACTGTTTTAGTGTGGTGAGATGTGTTCCACACTGGGCATGCATACTCAGCAGCAGAGTAGCACAGCGCAAGGGCAGATGTCTTCACTGTGTCTGGTTGTGATCCCCAGATTGTGCCAGTCAGTTTTCGTATGATATTGTTTCTAGCGCCACTTTTTGCTTGATGTTCAGGCAGTGCTTCTTGTAGGTAAGAGCACGGTCCAGAGTGACTCCCAGGTATTTGGGTGCGCTGCAATGCTCCAGTGGGATTCCTTCCCAGGTGATCCTCAGAGCTCGGGATGCTTGTCTGTTCTTGAGATGAAAGGCACATGTCTGTGTTTTAGATGGGTTGAGAAGAAAGGAAAGCTTAGAGAAGACAATAATGCTGGGGAAAATGGAAGGAAAAAGGAAGAGGGGCCGACCAAGGGCAAGATGGATGGATGGCATCCTTGAAGTGACTGGATTGACCTTGAAGGACCTGGGGGTGAGGACGGCCGAAAAGGAGCTCTGGCGTGGGCTGGTCCATGAGGTCACGAGGAGTCGGAAACGACTGAACAAATGAACAACAACTATAAAGTCGTACATCTGGTGTTCCCTGTAGTAGGCAGTAAGGGCACCTAGAGCTTTGGAGAGCTTCTGTTCAACCATCTCAAAGCTCCCTGCTTGAGCAGTAGTGAGAGACAAGAGGAAGGGCACAGCCGCGGCCACCCTTCAGGCAGGACTGAGTGCTCAGGGTCCTGGACGGGAGGGGTCTGGCCCCGCCCCCTCCCCCCTCGGGGCCCCGCCCGCTCGGCCAGCAGTGACCCAATAAAGTTATTTTGAAAGTGACCCTGCCGCTGCCGCGCCAGCCGCAGCTGTCGGAAATCATGACTGAAGATGACGGATTCCGCGGTAGTGGTGGAGGGCCAGCTCAAGTGGAGAGATGGAAAAAAGGTCCGCGGCACCCACCTTTCCCGGGGACGGGGCAGGAGGGTCTTTTCTCCCTCTCTTCCCCCCTCACTTTCCCTTTGCCCCCTCCAATGCCTCTCTCTCTCTCTTTCTCCACAGTGGAAGACGCGGTGGGCGGTGCTGCGCAAGCCTTCGCCGGTCGCTGGTGAGTCCGGCGCGAGGGGAAAGCGAGGGAGGAAGGAGGGGGGGGGGCTTCTCTTGGAGGAGGCAGATAGGCCCCTGGCGCCTCTGTGGGGAAAGGAGCGCCTCCCTCAGCTTTCCTCCGGGTCACGAGGAAAGCTGAGGGAGGAGGAGACCCTTCCCCAGCCCTTGCCTTGCCCTTGTCGGTCTCGCGCCGGTTTCTCGCCCCCTCTTCAGTTTTATGAGCCTGGCTCGCAGGCGGGGAATAAGGGCTAAATTTAGAAGGAGGGCATTGAAGGGTGGAGGGGAGGGGAGGGGCCGCGCTGCTATTGGGGAAGGAGGAGGAGCCCTCCGGCTCTGCTTGGGGCAGAAGCAACATTGGGACGCGCGGGTCCCGGATGCTCAAGTCTTGGGTTTAAAGGCCAAGCAAGTGCTTCTGAGGGCCCTTCCACACAGCTGTACACAATCCCCTTTCAACTGGGCTATATGGCAGTGTGGACTCAGATAATCCAGTTCAAAGCAGATATTGTGGATTTATTTATTTATCTATCGTGTCTGGAGCAAACCAAACAGTTGTATTGCGTTAAAAAAAACCCACACAAAGTTAATAATAATAATAATAATAAAATAAAACTTTATTTATATACCGCTCCATCTCCCCGAGGGGACTCAGAGCGGTTCCCAAGTAGTATCACAAAACATACAGAGTAAAAACAATATAACCATAAGATTAACAAACAAAATATAAACATAAAAATTGTCGCCATAACACACATATATTAAAAGTAATACTGCCTGTTCAAAGCAATTAAAAATGTAAAAGGCCGGGCCAAGATTTGCGCAAGCCCAAAAATTCTAGGGGGCCCGGGAATTAAGTGCAGTGCTATGGCAGGCAACAATAATATTAGGTCTGTGGCTGTCCATTCCAGGGCTGATTAAAGCAGTGGTTCTCAACCTGGGGTCCCCAGATGTTTATGGCCTTCAACTCCCAGAAATCCTAACAGCTGGTAAACTGGCTGGGATTTCTGGGAGTTGTAGGCCGAAAACATCTGGGGACCCCAGGTTGAGAACCACTGGATTAGAGGAAAGAATCTGGGTAACTGGTAGGAAGAATAAGGCCGTATTAAACAATGTGTGGTGCTGAGTTAGAACTGGTCATTTTCAAAGGCTTGTTGAAACTACGAGGTCTTCAAGCTCTTACGAAAGTTCACAAACTTGGCATTCTGTTAGAATCATAGAATCACAGAGTTGGAAGAGACCTCATGGGCCATCCAGTCCAACCCCCTGCCAAGAAGCAGGTATATTGCATTCAAAGCACCCCTGACAGATGGCCATCCAGCCTCTGTTTAAAAACCTCCAAAGAAGGACCCTTCACCACACTCTGGGGCAGAGAGTTCCACTGCTGAACAGCTCTCACAGTCAGGAAGTTCCTCATGTTCAGATGGAATCTCCTTTCTTGTAGTTTGAAGCCATTATTTCCGTGTCCTAGTCTCCAGGGAAGCAGAAAGCAAACTTGCTCCCTCCTCCCTGTGGCTTCCTCTCACATATTTATACATGGCTATCATGGCTCTTCTCAGCCTTCTCTTCATCAGGCTAAACATGCCCAGCTCCTTAAGCCGCTCCTCATAGGGCTTGTTCTCCAGACCCTTGATCATTTTAGTTGCCCTCCTCCAGACACATTCCAGCTTGTCAACATCTCTCTGCAATTGTGGTGCCCAGAATTGGACACATTATTCCAGGTGTGGTCTAACCAAAGCGGAATAGAGGGGTGGCATGACTTCCCTAGATCTAGACACTATGCTCCCATTGATGCAGGCCAGAATCCCATTGGCTTTTTTTTGCCGCCGCATCGCATTATTGGCTCATGTTTAACTTGTTGTCCACGAGGACTCCAAGATCTTTTTCACTCATACTGCTCTCGAGCCACGCGTCCACCATTCTGTATCTTTGCATTTCGTTTTTCCTGCCAAAGTGGAGTCTCTTGCATTTGTCCTTGTTGAACTTCATTTTGTTAGTTTTGGCCTGTCTCTATAATCTGTCAAGATCATTTTGAATCCTGCTCCTGTCCTCTGGAGTATTAGCTATCCCTTCCAATTTGGAGTCGTCTGCAAACTTAAATGTTCTTTGACCAGTAGCTGGCCACTTGGAGTGCCCCTGGTGTTGCTATAAGAAGATCCTCCATTGTGCATGTGGCAGGGCTCAGGTTGCATTGTAATAGGTGGTCTGTGGTGTATAGCCCCATTTCTTAAGCTTGGTTCCTCATCTTGTGGTGCCAGAGTGCAGTCTGTCAGCGCCTTCCAAGTTGCCCAATGTTCTGTGTTCCCAGGAGGATTGTGGATTATCTGCCTTGATATTCTGGGTTATATGGCCATGTGGAAGGCCCCTCAGTTAATAATAATAATAATAATAATAATAATAATAATTTTATTCTTATAGCCCACCACCATCCCTCTGAAGGGACTCAAGGCGACTTACAAGTGTGAAGCACAAAATACAGATTAAAACCCATACAATAAAAGAAAAGTGGGGCCTTTCCGCCTCTTACAGCTATTACTACTCATCCCAGGCTCCTTCCATACAGATGAATAAAATCCCACATTATTTGCTTTGAACTAGGTTATATGGCTGTGTGGAAGGGCCTCCAGAGCTTCTTCAGCATTTTCCACCCGCAACCCCCACCCGCAACCCTTTCAGCACAGGAAACGTTTACATTTGTATAGGTCTACTGCAGTTGTTTTTTTGGCCAGGGACTATTTTGACCTGGAACAACTCTCCAACATTAGTACCAAAAGAGTTACGAATCAGTTTTTGGTCAACTTGAGATTCAGTTTTGTTATTTGGGGTGCTGATTCAGAAAATTGCATTGGATAGACCACGCCAGCTCTGGTTTCTGATACAGAATATATGCCTTCCTGTAATCCCCATCTGCTCACCCACAGAAAACCATATTCAATAATCTAGAGCTGGCGTGGCAGTAGAAATCTTTTGTGGGTAGTCAGCCTCTCCCTTCCTGACATCCTCTTTGCCTCAGCACTACACGAAGGTTTCACGAGACCAGTTGCTCTAGTTGCCGAGGCAACGATGTAGTAATGGTGAAGCTGCAGAACATATTTTTGTTCTTGTAGACCACTGGTGGTCCACAGACCACAGGTTGGGAACCAGTGGTCTACAAGCACTCCCGACTCCCTGGGGG